CCCCAAAACCCCAAAACCCCGAGTAAATAAAGGTTTAAATTAAGATGATTATCAATTAGAATAATAAGACTACCACTAATAAATTAAATCATATAATAAAATATACAAACAATAATGATGATGTTTAAACTGAAGTAGTATGCATTAAGATCAGCTTTATAGTAAAACACACTTAAAAGTCCTGGGGCGCTTTTGCTTCAAAACCCCTAAAGATTTTTTCCAAGATATGTTAACAAGGAAATTAAGTTCTAAAAGGAGTCTAAGTACAGATTCAAGGTATCAGACCCAGATGATGGAGAGCTGAAGGATGCTAAGTCAAGGAAAGACTATGAGATGATAAAAGAGGGTGAGAGAATGTATAACAGGTTCAATATTGAGCAGGGATAGGCACAAGATGCAGAATATGAAAAAGAAATTGATAGACTGATAGATGAAAAGATGTCAAAGGGGTTAGATGATTAGACTATTATAGATCAGATTGTCAACAATGGAAAGAATACCATGACCAGATAGGATTACGAAAAGGACTAAGATACCAAGATTGAGGAGCTTATTAAGTCACTAAAATCTAAGGGATAGAGACCTCTTGGACTTTCTGATGTCACTGAAGACAATGATTTTAATGAGTTTCAATAAAAAACTGGTAAGATGATGTATGACAAGGATCAGATATTGCGTGAGCAATGGATGGAAGATGAAAGACAGCGGAGATTAAAAGAACGTGAGGAAAAGAAATAGTCAAAATTGAAATCCTCTTAGTCTAGTTCAGCATCTTAACTGCCTCTTGATAGCAAAGGAATTTTAAAAAGCTCTAAGAAGCAGAGAAGCATTGAAGGGCCAGACCAGTTTGGTTATGTTTAGTAATCTGAGAATGTAAAGGCATTACATCCAAAGCCAGAAGAGTAAAACCTCGGATAAAGAAGACAAATGGAAAAAGATGAGGAAGACCTGGAGAAGCATTTAAAAGAGTTTGACGAGAAAAAAATGGATAAGCTCTTTGAAAGACAAAAGAAAAAGAGCTAGGAATCGCAAGCTGATCAAATCATGATTAAAAATCTACAAAAAGAGGTCTAGAGGCAATCAGATTAACTAGAGGTGAATAATGAGTTTAAGGAAATGGTTGAATAAGAAGAGTATGAGACAAAAAAGGAGTTGGGTCTGTATGTGGATGATTAAGAGACTAAAATCATAGGCAAGCAGGCAAGGCATAAGACTGAAGATCTAACTAAAGAATCATTAGTTCTGACAAAGGAGTAAAAGAGTAAGTGAAAATTCAAAATTTACTGAAATAACTATAGTAATGAAGGAGTTGAACTTTGTGACTACTTCTCTGGATTTGAACGATCGTGAGAGAAAGCATTGGTATTATAGGATAAAAAGAGAAGTAGAAGAGGAAGAGAAAGCATAGAAAAGATTGTAAGTCAAGATGAAATATCATTAAAATTTCTAATAGGGAATAGAGAGAAGCGAGAAAGCAGTTTTTGAAGTTGCTTAAATCGTATTAGATCCCAGAAGTGCTGGAATAGGAAGAGGAATTCGAAAAGATTTATGACTCTAATGAAGACCCAAGGTAGAAGCCAACTGAAGATGTCAAACTGCCTAAAGGCTATATGAATCATGATGAATATGCTTTCTATGGAGAGGATGTTGACTTCATGAGATTTCACAAGAGAACAACGGAAAATGTATACAATACTCTCTGCTCTATAATTGAAAGCTAAAAGTAAACCATACAAAGAGGAGTAAATTAAAATTACAAGATTACAATCAATCACATTGAGCTTAACAAAGCTTGTTCAGTAGTTAACGCCTTTTGGCAAGTTCTACATATTAAAGATAAAAACATGATGGCCCCAGAGGTTTTAATCACTGAAATAAAAATGAGAAGATAGGAAATAGATGAGTTTAGACAGAGAAAGTATGAGGAGCAGATGGCTAAGGCAAACGAATAAGAATAGTAGTAAGTTGAACAAGCAATGAAATAGATCTCAGATTTGGATTGGCTTCAGCAGCTTGATCAAGAAAAACTCAGAATAACAGAAGCAGAACTATAGAAGCGTTTGACTAAGGCTTCACCTTTCATTAGAGGTAGGCTATGCTAGATCTTAGGTCTGAGATACTCTCCCGAATTACGATTCTTTAAAGATAATTCTCTAGAGTAGTATGAGTAAATAAAGCAGTAGGCTTATTAGTACCTTAAAGAAGTAAATGAGCAACCCTCTGATGAGAGATTTGTGGACAAATAATTGCTGAATAGTATTAAAATGATCACTACATTGCTGAAGATGCCTCCTCTAGAAAGGAAACTCTATGTCGCCTCAATTGAGGACGACGCTCAAAGAGAACAGCTATCGGTGATGTTCATGACTGAATCACTATAGCAGGGGCTAAAGGAGCTCCAAGAGGCAGCAAAGGAATAAATATAGAAAGGCAAAGATAGGGAAAAAGTGACATAGGTGGCTGAGACTCGCAGAGCTAAACGTGCTGAGAATGAACTCAATAAGTTTAAGCATAAGATAGCACTGTCCAGTGGAGAGAGTTTTGACAATTTGTCTGAAGCACCACTCACTCCCTTAGAAATGGAGGAGAGCTTGATATCAGCAGCTTCTTCTATAAAACCTAAAAAGCACGATCTAGAAGCACAACTGAGCAAGAATTATACCATCGATCCTGAAACAGGAGAGAAAACTAGGATACACAAAGGCAATTCTAAGGCTTCAAAAAATAGTAAAACAGAAAGGAAAAAGGAGAAGTCACTCATGTTTTGGGATAAACTGTCTATGTGAATGTGAAGATAGCATAAAATGAATTTTGATTTAATTAATATTGTTGATTTCATAACTAACTTACACGGGGTTTTGGGGTTTTGGGG